GACCCCGGGCCCTCGGGCAGTGCCCAGTTTCCAAATGGTCAGTCCACCCCTGGGACCAATACAACCACAATTCAATTTTTTTAGTAATGCCCATGTTGAGGGTTTGGCCCAAAAAAACTTTAAATTTGGAAATGGTAATAGGTCTCCATTGAAATGGTCTGACAATGTTTGCATTTGGGTTGGCGGCGATAAATTGTTGTACATATAAGTTGCTTTGATCCACAATCAATGCATACAGGTCTTCTGTGGAAAACAGCTCCAAAAATCAAGGGGAATAGTTAAATTTGCTGTTTTCCACCACCTGAATTCTGGGTTGGGCAGTGAATGGGAGAAGTACAGGTGCTGCAGAATTTGTGGGCTGCCAATCAGGATTTGCAAGCACATCTGGAAGGACACTATGGGCTCTATGGGCCTGTGTTTGAATTCTTGGTGGCTGCGGAACACTACTTGTGCTAGCCACCACACCAGTTTGTACTGCACTTATGCATGTTACCAAGTGATCCTGCAGTGCTGGTATGTGTAAGACCAGGATGTATTAGGCCACTGGTGCTCGCCAGTTCTCCAAAAGGTTAAGCGGCACAAGTACTGGCACTCTGCTGTATATGAGAATCATCATGCAATTGTAATACCTCAGCAACCTGGGAACGGGGTCGGGTATGCCTGACCTTAGCAGGGACCTCTACTCCATCATGAGATATCTGTCAGGATGCCGCTGCTGTCAACAAGTATTGGTATTGTGAGGCAGATTCTGTTGATGCGGCTTCCCCTTCTCTCTTATCTGACATGGTCAGAATCCTGTAGGCCTCTTAAATAGAGTACCTTTAGTTGGACGTTTTGGCTACTAAATTTGTAGGTACCTAGTGTGACTCACGTAAAAAAGAGCACCTGGCTATCAGGTATTGCTTGAATCGCTACAAAAAAAATTACCTGCAAGTGCTAGCAGAGATCAGCCTGATTCTGTGAACAGTGTGGTTTTGTGTGCAATGTATCAAGTGACAGTGATCTACTTACACTGCACTTGCTAGGAGAGAAGGGGGGGTTAAGCATCAGGGCTAAATGTAGGTGCTGGCAGAGCCATTTCTGCTAATGCTGCATTTTTGTGGACACTGTACTATTGTGAACGCTGGTATAGTGCTAATCTTATCAAAGATATTGATCTGTTCAGACACTATACTAGTAATGGAGGTTTATTGTGTATGTGAGCGTGTTCCTGGCAATCAAAGGGTTTAAATGTGATGACTGATGTAGTGAGGGGCAATCTGACGCTATCTGTGAGGGACGCTAATGCTACCTGATTTCACCGGTGACACTAATACAGTGATCAGTAAAAAAATTATGTACACTGTACTATTGACACTGGTGACAGGGCAGTGAAATGAGGTTAATTGAGGGGCGATCAGGGGGTTAGATGTGACCTAGCTGTGCTTTTACTGTAAAAGTGTAGTGCTTTTACTCACATAGATCTGCTTTCTTCTCTCTCTGGGACGGAATATGCCCAGGGAGAGAAGATTGCATCATTTCCTGTACCTGTGTAAGTGTAAACACAGGTACAGGAAGATCTGTGATAGGGCTGGGATCAATCAGCAGATCCAGGCTGAACATCACTGGCCTGAATCTGCTGATTGATCAGTCGGGCACCGAATCATGGCGGGAGCTATAGGGCAGAGTTAAAGTGGTTAATAAAGGACTTGTCAAAAATGTTTTTTTTTTTTGTTCAATAAAGGATTTTTTTCAAAAGACTGGTCTCTTTTTACTAAATGTAACCCTTTAGTGAATGGGTTAGGGGTACAAATTCCCCTTACTCATTCACAAGGGGGGGCAGCATCAGGGTGCCCTCTTATTTAAAGGAATACCCTGATGCTAATGAGCTCTCCTGCCCACAGACCCCTACAACCACCAGCCAGGGTTATGGGGCAGAGGCCCTTGTCAGGTGGCGTCCCCCCCCCCCCCCCTCGTCAGTCCTGCTGCAACAGTTCATATATTTTGTGCAGATGTGCAACTTTGCAGGTAGTTTAAGGGGACCCCCCAGGCATGATGTTTCAAGGAATTTTTTTTTTTTTTTTTTTACTTGAGGCAATGAAAAATGACTACCCCTTTAAAAACAGTACTATTAAAATTTTTGTTTCACTGATTTGTGTCCCTCAGGGCAGTACTCGAGTCCCCATTGTATGGCTAATAACTTGCATATAAGCCTTCAAAATGGGCACTTTTGAAGTTACAAGTTTGAGTCTAATAGACTTGCATTAGGTTCGAAGTTCGCTGTGGAACATTCATTAGATTTGAATGCTCAACTGCGAACCAAACACGGCAGGTGTTTGGCCCATCACTATTCTACAGGTTGAAGTCTGGGGACTCCTTCCCATTTGTGTGGCTGATTATTAGGTTTGACTCTCTGTCTATTTCTCTGTTAGGGATGCATACATAACAGTAAGAGAGGAGCAGTTTGCGGAATGGTGCTAAAGCAAATGTCCTTAGGATATATTCTTTGCAGAGCAAATGTGTGAATGGGCAAAATACAGCCTAGATGGGGCCAATGAGCATACATGTGATGCTCAGTGCCATCTAGTAGCCATAATGGGGCATTTTTTCCAATTCACACATTTTGCCCTATTTGCACTGAACAAATTTACACAAATTTTGATGGACAAATGCAAATTGTTGATAAATACACCCGATAGATTATAACATGTGTGATCACACTAGCAAAGGCATTAATATTATTCATGTCACATTGGTTTATTGTCTGATGGCTGCCATAGAAACTTGAGTAGATTATTTAACCTAGTTATAGTCAATTATTTTGATGTACAACCATAAAAACAACTTTCTGCTTTGATTACTTCAACATCTTCTCCTAAGTAATAAAACAACACCGCACAACATACCTTTTCTTTATGAACAGTGGAACTGTTTAAAAAGATGCCCAGGAATAGTAAAAATTAGAATTAATCCAGAGTTGTACCCTGTAGTAATTCCTTTCCACTAATACATATGTTTTTTCTTTAGGGTCGAACAATGGTCATTACCTTTCATTAATTTCCTGTGAGGCTGTCATGGGCCAGCTGCTAACACATCATTTGTATATAACATATCAGTTTTCATGGTTTCCTTTATTAATGTAAATTTTTATATCCTTAAATTGGAAGTCCAGGCTTTTCCTAACTATGGTTAAGTCTGCTCCCACCCCTATTCTAACTTCTATTATAATTGCTCTGTGAAGGAAAGATGTGTACAGCACCTATTTTGTGGGTACTCTAGTCCAATTATATGATTGGTTCCCAGTGACAGCTTCATTGAAGAGAAGGGACAGCTGACAATGGATGCCCCATAGCAAGCCTATGAGTGATGTCACCATACAGGTATTTCAGGCATTGCCAGTGACCTCTACTCTTCCCTGAAGATGCCTTCTCAGTAGATCACATGACTGGACTAGTGCACTCTCAAAATAGGTAAGTATAATCATCTTACTTTTACAGGGTAGTTAGAAGAGTTAGGTAGAAGAAGGGGAGAAGAGCAGGTTTAAATATAATGAAACAAAATATTAAACATGTGCAAGATACGTCCTAGTCAAAATGGCAAATGAAGCCTTGAGATGTAGAAAGACAGCACAGATTTCCTGTTCAGAGTTTTACTTTGCTAATTGTGTTTTTATTGGTTCTTTGTCATTCCTCCTCAAAGTTCCAATTAATTCTTGGCTTGTCTCATGCCATGTCCTAATACCTTACATACAGGGGTTGATTTACACTGGATGAACACTGGAGAGTGCAAAATCTGTTGCAGCTGTGTATGGCAGCCAATGAGCTTCTAACTTTATCTTATTCAAATAAGCTTTGACAAACAAATCTGGAAGCTGATTTTTTTTTATGCCGAGCTTCAACAGATTTTGCACTCTCGGTTTTAGTAAATCAAATCCATAGTGTCTATCGTGAAGGACTGTGCATTCATATTTGCTATGTAACTGAGTAGAACAGAACTGTAACTGATAATGGCCAGAGTACTATATACTATGTATGAAAAAGGATTATAATATGTCTGTTCACTTCAATTGCCTGATGTATGTGATAGCATTGGACCAGTAGAAGTTAAAAATAGTTTAGATGGGTATAACATAAGTGCTCTTTTCTTCAAAGAACCATATCCATGATCCAAAATATAATGTGGGTGGACCCTGTTCTGCTCCGAGACTGCTATGTCTCTGATAGTGACAAAGGCAGTGCTCCCTAGATGGTAAATTCTTAGATGTGTGCAGAAGAGCACCTGGTACAAAAGTCGCTCTCACTTAATGGAATTTTTAAACATTTAATGCTAAAGAGCATCAAATACAGCCAACCTGTTTCGGGGGAAAAAAGCCTCTCCCTTCTTTAGGAATGATTAATAATATATTTTATATTTATATATTATAATTAGAGATGAGCGAAGTATTCAAAAATTCGATTCGGCTGATTCGGCGAATTCGCGGAATAAATTCGATTCGAGTCGAATATATTTCGCTGCGAATTTAACTTATAAAAAGGGTGTTTCTAGGCTTCAGAGAGCCTTTATATTAGTGCAGAACACTGTACCTTTAACTTAAAATGCCCTTGGAGTCTGCTGGGGAAGAGAAATAATACTGTCAGTCAGTATGACATGCAGATGAGTGCCGTCGATCTTAGAATCACCGCACACTTCACTCATTTGGGCAGTCACGGGGCCAAAACCAGAGTGTGGAGCCACAGTGTGGCATTGGAGGCAGCAGCAATGGGAGGCCGAACCACCAGCAGTGTGAGGAGACCTGAAAGTGGCACATGGCAGAGTGTGGCGATGGAGACAGCAGCAATGGGAGGCCGTACAGGGACCCATGAGAGACTCTGGACCTGGCAGCATGAGCATGAGGAGGCGGTACAGGGGCCCATGACAGATTACGGGCCTGGCAGCAGCATGAGGAGTCGGTACGGGGGCCCATGGCAGATTACGGGCCTGGCAGCAGCAATGGGAGGCCCGTAATCTGCCAGCACCCTATGACAAAATGGAACCCACCAGCAGTGTGAGGAGACCTGAAAGTGGCACATGGCAGAGTGTGGCGATGGAGACAGCAGCAATTGGGAGGCCGTACAGGGACCCATGAGACACTCTGGACCTGGCAGCAGCATGAGGAGCGGTACAAGGGGCCCATGACAGATTACGGGCCTGGCAGCAGCATGAGGAGTCGGTACAGGGGCCCATGGCAGATTACGGGCCTGGCAGCAGCAATCATGGGGAGGCCCGTAATCTGCCCAGCACCCTTATGACAAATGGAACCCACCAGCAGTGTGAGGAGACCTGAAACAGTGGCACATGGCAGAGTGTGGCGATGGAGACAGCAGCAATGGGAGGGAAGGCCGTTACAGGACCCATGAGACACTCTGGACCTGGCAGCAGCATGAGGAGTCGGTACGGGGGCCCATGGCAATTACGGGCCTGGCAGCAGCAATGGGAGGGGCCCGTAATCTGCCAGCACCCTATGACAAAATGGAACCCACCAGCAGTGTGAGGAGACCTGAAAGTGGCACATGGCAGAGTGTGGCGATGGAGACAGCAGCAATGGGAGGCCGTACAGGGACCCATGAGACACTCTGGAACCTTAGCAGCAGCATGAGGAGGGCGGTACGGGGGGCCCCATGGCAGATTAGGGGCCTGGCAGAAGCAATGGGAGGCCCGTAATCTGCCAGCACCCTATGACAAAATGGAACCCACCAGCAGCTGTGAGGAGACCATGAAAGTGGCACATGGCAGAGTGTGGCGATGGAGACAGCAGCAATGGGAGGCCGTACAGGGACCCATGAGAGACTCTGGACCTGGCAGCAGCATGAGGAGGCGGTACAAGGGGCCCATGACAGATTACGGCCCTGGCAGCAGCAGCGATGAGGAGTCGGCTACGGGGGCCCAATGGCAGATTACGGGCCCTGGCAGCAGCAATGGGAGGAGGTCCGTACAGGGACCCATGACACACTCTGGACCTGGCAGCAGCATGAGGAGGCAGTACAGGGGCCCATGACAGATTACGGGCCTGGCAGCAGCAATGAGGAGTCGGTACAGGGGCCCATGGCAATTACGGGCCTGGCAGCAGCAATGGGGAGGCCCGTAATCTGCCAGCACCCTATGACAAAATGGAACCCACCAGCAGTGTGAGGAGAGCCTGAAAAGTGGCACATGGCAGAGTGTGGCGATGGAGACAGCAGCCAATGGGCCGAGGCCGTACAGGGACCCATGAGACACTCTGGACCTGGCAGCAGCATGAGGGGAGGCGATACGGGGGCCCATGGCAGATTACGGGCCCTAGCAGCAGCAATGGGAGGCCCATAATTCTGCCAGCACCCTATGACAAAATGGAACCCCACCAGCAGTGTGAGGAGACCTGAAAGTGGCACATGGCAGAGTGTGGCGATGGAGACAGCAGCAATGGGAGGCCCGTACAGGGACCCATGAGAGACCTCGGAACCTGGCATGAGCATGAGGAGGCGGTACGTGGTGGGGCCCATGGCATATAACGGGCCTGGCAGCAGCAATGGGAGGCCCGTAATCTGCCAGCACCCTATACCAACATTGGAACACACCAGCAGTGTGAGGATACCTGAAAGTGGCAGATGGCAGAGTGTGGCGATGGAGACAGCAGCAAATGGGAGGCGCCCTGTACAGGGACCCATGACACACTCTGGGACCTGGCAGCAGCATGAGGAGGCGGTACGGGGTGCCCATGGCAGATTACGGGCCTGGCAGCAGCAATGGGATGGCCCGTAATCTGCCAGCACCCTATCCTGTACACAAAATGGAACCCACCAGCAGTGTGAAGAGACCTGAAAGTGGCAAGTACATGGCAGAGGGTGTGGCGATGGAGACAGCAGCAATGGGAGGCCGTACAGGACCCATGAGAACACTCTGGACCTGGCAGCAGCATGAGGAGGCGGTACGGGGGGCCCATGGCAGATTACGGACCTGGCAGCAGCAATGGGAGGAAAGTAATCTGCCTAGCAACCCTATGACAAAATGAACCCAACCAGCAGTGGTGAGGAGACCTAAAGTGGCACAATGGCAGAGTGTGGCGATGGAGACAGCAGCAATGGGAAAAGGGCCGTACAGGGACCCATGAGACACTCCTGGACCTGGCCTAGCAGCATGAGGAGTTCGGTACGGGGGCCCCCATGGCAGATTAACGGGCCTGGCAGCAGCAATGGGAGGCCCGTAATCTGCCAGCACCCTATGACAAAATGGAACCCACCAGCAAAGTGTGAGGAGACCTGAAAGTGGCACATGGCAGAGTGTGGCGATGGAGACAGCAGCAATGGGAGGCCGTACAGGGACCCATGAGACACTCTGGACCCTGGCAGCAGCATGAGGAGGCGGTACGGGGGGCCCATGGCAGATTACGGGCCTGGCAGCAGCAATGGGAGGCCCGTAATCTGCCAGCACCCTATGACAAAATGGAACCCACCAGCATTGTGAGGAGACCTGAAAGTGGGCACATGGCAGAGTGTGTCGATGAGACAGCAGCAATGGGGAGGCCGTACAGGGACCCATGACACACTCTGGACCTGGCAGCAGCAAGAGGAGGTGGTACAGGGGCCCATGGCAGAGTGGCGAAGCGTAAGCAGCTACTAAATTGAAGCCATACAGAGGCCTATTTAAAAATAATAACATGTTTGGGGCATGATTCATAATCCACGCCTGATTCATTTTCACAAACGTGAGTCTCTCCACACTTTGGGTGGACAGTCGTGTCCTCCGGGGTGTTACAATACCTCCTGCCGCACTAAACACGCGCCCCGATGCCACGCTACTGGCCGGCATGACAGCCTTTCAAGGGCAAATTCAGCTAGTTGGGGCCAAAGGTCAAGTTTCGTTGCCCAGTAGTCAAGGGGGTTGTCTACCTCGGTTTGGCAGGTCTGTCCAAGTAGGCCCAAGCCTGTTGTTTGAGGTCCTGCTCCAGGTTCCACCTGAGCTGGCTGCTGTGCGCGGCTGGTTAGTAGTTTCCTCACTGCGCTGGTGAAGAAAGCACTCTCTCTCGACTGCAGACGAGGCAGCCGCTGCTGGTGGAGCTGCCACTGCTCCTACCACCCCACCCCTCCCCCTGCTCCATGGCAGCGGGAAAGCGAGCGGGACAGGGCCCACATTCTGAGGAAAGGACGTTGGCGCAAAAGGCAGAGACCAAAATGACTACATAGGGGGTTTTTATAGTACGTTATTTTGGCCTCCCTCTCAGCAGGTGTGAAAAAAGGCCCCCATTTTTGAACGGTAGCGAGGGTCCAACAAGGGACAGCCAAAAGTCATCCCTCTGTCGTGGTTTTTTATTCGGCTGTCGCTACGCAAGCAACCCAGCATGCTATGGGGCCCTTTGTGCCAAGAATGCGAGGGACTCCCTGCCTCCATCTCCACAGCATACTGCCACGGTGCTCTGGGGCCTCTGTTTCCCCCCCTCCCCTCTACCAGATGCTCCTGCTCCTCCACTCCTGTCCGCTGAGTGGAAAAAAACCCCCCATTTCACTCAATAATTTTCCCGACACCAATGTCCTCCCTACCTCCCTCCTCTTCTTCCTGTCCTGCCCCCACAGGGTCATGTGGGGTTGAGATCTGTTTCGCCACGTCTACCGCACCCTGACCACCATTTTTAACAGCATTTGTTCCAGGACGTGCAACAGGAATGACGTCGTTACCCAT